TGTGCAGATGTGGCTGGGGTCAGCAGAAACCTGCCAAGAGGATCGGGTGATGCACCGCCGCACCTTTGACAAGTGCTCCATCCTGACACCTGCACACTGCGCCTGAAAGACGCGGGCACGCACATACAGCGTCCTGGACATCATTCTCGACTTACCGGCAGCAGGAAGAGGGTCGGCGGAACACAACCATATTGTGGACATCAAGTACTGCAGGGACACCAACCGGCACCCGACCATAGCAGCAGCCACAGGCACAACACGCCGTGCTCATAGCAGAACTGCAGAAGGCCCACCGGCGGGTTCACCTCCACGTGATTACGCTGGGTGTGGGGAGGGGGGGGCAAAATCTACACAGACACTATGAAGGACATAGCCGGCTTACGAGTGCCCAAAGAGAAACACAAGGCTCTGTTCAACCACCTCAACCTTCACGCAGTGGGGAGCATGACGGCAGTTTGGGGCCGCCGAAAGCAATTGCTGCACGCCAGCAGCTGCCCACCGTCACGGCCGCGTCAAGTAAGGGCGCGGATGGAGTCATGTGAAAGTGCCCCCCCCCCCCTGATCCCCTATGGTGGGGGGTGTGGCTCACCACACACACCCCTCTCGTTGACCCGATGCTGCGCCGCTTTGACGCAAGGCGTCAGTCTCTCTGTCTCTCTCCCAGATATCTCCCAGAAGAAAACACGTCAGACCTGCGTGTTGATCGTGGCACGATGCAAGGGGACAGTCTCTCGCCCTTTCTGTTTGCGTTGTACCTGGAGCCGCTGCTGCGCGGGCTGCATGTGGGTGAAAAAGGCTAGGTGCCGCACTGCCTGGAAAGAGATGGCCACACACCGTTGGATGCGGTCAAGGACCAACTCTCCAGCTGCACATACGCGGATGACCTTAATGTACTGATCGATTTGCGGCGGACATGCACAAAAGGGCAGAGAAGGCTACTGCATACGCCGAATGGGGCAGTCTGGATGTGAATACCACCAAATCCTGCGCAACTGCAATCCTGCACAAGCACAGCCCCCAAGACCCCGCATGCGCACGAATGGTTCAGGG